GGTCGCGAGAGACGCGTCGGAGACTCGTACGGCTTGAGTGAGCCGGTGTTGAAGACTGGATGTAGCTTGAGTCCAGGCGGCAAGTTGATCTCGTACGCGTGTCGATGTACCTTGCGCACGACGGAATACGGTCCAATCCACTTGGGTCTAAGCTTGCGTGAGTTGGGAAACCGCGTGTGCACCGTGTCCAGGTTCTTCGTGCTTAGGTACACTTGGTCACCAACGTTGAAGTCTTGGTCTTTACGTCCGCGGTCGTACACGTCGGCCATACGGGCTTGCGCATCCTCGAGGGCATCCTGACACTGGCGAAGTACGGCCGCTTGATGTTCCGTAAACGGAACGCCTTGGCGTTGTCCCCCGCCCAATCCTCGCCGACTTGACTCAGCAACAGCAGCTAGGGGGTTGTGCGGGACGTATCCGATGTCGGCCTCAAATGGTGACATCTTGATGCTTGAGTTGACCGCTGAGTTGATGGCAAACTCTGCGTTCGCAAGATGTACATCCCAGTCATCTTGTCGTGGAGATACAAAGCAGCGGAGATACTCTTCAAGAGTTCGGTTCGTTCTCTCCGTTTGGCCGTCACCTTGAGCCCGGTACGCTACCGTCATCTTGAGCTTTGTTCCCACATTTTCAAAGACTTGACTCCAGAATCCAGAGACAAACTTGGTATCTCGATCTGACACGATATCCTGTGGCATACCGTGAAGCCTCCAGATGTTGTCGATGAACAGCGTCGCGACCTCGTGCGCAGAAACTGTCTTCGTCGTTGCGATAAAATGGGAACGCTTGGTTAGGTGATCCACAACAACCCAAATCGAGTTCTTCCCGGTTTTGGTATCCGGTAAGTCCGTGATAAATTAATCGAAATCGAACGCCATCGTTCTTCTGGAATCTGTAAAGGCTCCAATCGCCCAGGGGCTTCGTCAATCGAGGTTTGTTCCGTCTGCAATCTTCACAATCCGCGATGTACTTCGTAATCGTACGGATCATTCGCGGCCAATACCAGTCAGCACGTAGCTTCAGATATGTACGATCGGTGCCGGAATGTCCGCCGTAATTAGAATCGTGTACTTCAGAGATGATGCGATGCTTTAGCGCCACCACGTTTGGAACGACAATCCGTGGCTTCTCATCCGTTG